ACACACACACACACACACACACACACACACACACACACACACACACTGAAATCTGCTGTGCTGCCTGACCTTTCCACGAGCTGATTTCTCCTCCTCTATCAGCTTGTAGCCGTGCCTGGCGATGCCCGTCTCGCTCGTGTAGCCGTCCTCGTGCTTGGAAGAGTCCGTGTGAGAGTCCAGCCGGTTACGTCTGAAATGGGTTTGTTTGTTCAGTTTGGTTGTTTTTATTAAATCCTACTAATAATTTTACGGTACTTGTAACACAATAAGGTCATGTATGTGCCGAGCAAACGATTAGATAGAGGTGTTAAAAGAGTAACTAATACAAATGAAAATGTGGTCTTATAAGTGCTGAAGGTTAGATAGAGGTGTTACAAGAGAGTAACTAACAAAAAAAACCCAATAAGGCCTTACAAGTGACGTAGACTGGATAGAGGTGTTACAAGAGAGTAACAACAAACACAAAAAAGAAAGAGGGGGATGAGAACGATAGATGTTTGATAAGAAAGAAGATGCAAACCACACCAGAGCACATGTCATGGTCCACAATTGTTTGTTTGCTTTGTTTGTGTGAGTAAAGAGAAACACATCGACAGAATGATGTTTGTTTAGCGCTGGGAAAAAGTAACGCTGACAGATTATAGAAAGGACAGAAGGAAAGAAAGAATTACGACCTACCAGCGACGCCCTTCAACCACCCACTGAAATTGCTTTTAAACGACTCAATTTAGATCTTGCTCGAGGCGGGTGCCTAGACTTCCCTCAATCCTGTCAGACCAAATTAATACTTAACGAAATAGGCACACGGCATCTTAGTAGAGAGCCGGCGAACTACTCGATCAAAATCAAATACTTTTGCCACTTGAGAATCGAACTCACGTCTTTTGCACGCAGTGTAAATGGCCAATACAATAAAACAGCGACACCCGAGTTTCTCAAAGCCACCACTTTCTGATCGCAAGAGAATTACACATCACAAATGGATTGTTGGCGGGTACTCGGTGTTTTTTTACTCCTTCTTTCCTATCAAACATCTATGGTAATCGTTGGCTCTTATAAGATTACCTATTTGTATTTGAATTTGAGTTGTGGGTTTGGAGGATCAAGCCTCAGCTCTCTCCGACGTTGTGTCCTTGGGAAAGGGACTTAGCACCAATTTCCAATTTGGATCGACAAATAGGTTCACTGCGAAATCACCGTGTCCTGACCCGGCTAAAACAGTACCTGCTCATGTGGCTGGTGCCTCTATAAATAAACTATTATAACATTATCATCATTGTGTACTGACCTTCTCAGGCGTCGTCGGCGGGGTCTGTCGTCTTCGTCCGCAGAGGTGAGACCGTCAGAGGTGACACTGTCCACCTTCTTCCACATCTCCGTGCGGATGTAGCGAACTGTAGAGCAGAGACGTGAGGCATTAGCGTCAGACATTGGTACTTTTGGGTTGTTGTTTAATACCTCCAGTACCACAACGTAACAATGACAAATACTTAAAACTTTTTCTTTGTTTTGTTTTGTTTTGGGGTTTGTTTGGTTCTCTGTTGTTGTCGTTGTTTTTGTTTTGTATTTTTTTGTTTTGTATTGATTTGGTTTGGGATTTTTTTGGGAGGGGTGTTTGGGTGT